TCACTTCCAGCAATTCGACTTTGAAATAAAGTGTAGCATTAGGAGGGATGACGCCATTACAACCAGCTGCGCCATAAGTCTAGAAAACGAACGGTAGAAGAACAAGGTTAGCCACATATGTTCCGTGGTTGATCGAGATAGATTGGTATGAGCCGCGGTAATCGAGGCTGTTATGAAGAAGAGAAGATGAAACACACGATTTCGGGAGGACATTTGAAGTAGGCTTCTTGTCCAATACTCAATTGGATCACGCCTTGGTCCCAAGCCTTGATCACTTGTCCAACGCCGATCTGGCACTCGAATGGCTGTATTTGTGTCACACGCACAACACAGAAAGAGTGATCGGGGGAAGGGGGGGGGGGGGGGATGAAAAACGATCGGAGGGGTAATCCAGAGTGGATGGGTTCAGCAAGGAGAATAATTCTCAACAGGCCAAATATGGAGTGGGACTGATGGACATACCCTTCCGCGATCTCGGGATGAGTCGAATTTCTTACCATCCTTGGATTCAAGAGTTCCGACGTAATGGATCTTAACTTTGTCGCCAGCAACCGGGAAGTTTTTGCCGTCTCCGGGCTATAAATCCAATGAGAAGTGTTGTTGAGAGGACGAAAGAGAGGAGAGGATCTCAATATGTATGCACGACGGCTTTGGGAGTCAGTATCAACAAGAGGGGGAGAGGACTGACTTTGATGGTCTCTACCTGCACCTGCGAGTTTGAAGAAGGAGCTCTACCCAAAAATGAATAAATATGTAAAAATAAACCAAAAACAAAGAGAGTCAATCAGTCTGTTCAAGATCGACAAGAGGAAGATCGACGAGGGTGTTGTTAGTCGATCTTGCGCTTGAGGAAGATACACCCAGCAAGATCGAGAGGAGATCGAAAGAATGAGAGGGAAGGAAAGGGTAGACGGAGTGTGTTGACTGACCCCATGATGATGAATGTGTGAGGATGTTAAGTGCGGGTTTGGGTGTTTTGGCGATAGGCAAGATGTCCTAAATAAACATAAACCAAGAGCTTCAAAAACCTGAGCACCTCCAGATACAAATAAAAAAAACTCCGAAGACGGATAACAAGGACAGAGAGAGGGGGGGAGGGGGTAATCTGTGGCAAGGGGTCATGGGGAATTGTACACTCTTCGATGCTTAGCACAGCCACTATGTGTGTAGTAGTGAGTGAGCCCAGTGCCGTAGAATCAATTGATCTGTGGGGGATGAGATGGAGTTTACCTTGGAAAGTGAGTTGTGAGTTGGATGGATGGATTGGATGAGAGGAAAGATGGAGGGATTGAGGGGCGGGAGGAAAGATAATCTTTCTCTTTGCTTTCTGTCTTGACGATCACTTCCTCCCCGCTCCCACAATCTTTTTTATTTATTTTTGACAAAGCCAAGCCTTCTACTCCGAGATCTGAAAAAGGATGATCTCCCCGATCGCGGCATTTTCATGAGGCTGTACCGATTGATTGATTGATTGATTATGTACGTAAATATTTATGTAAAGTGCATGTGCATAATTTACCGACAATCATCTCCGATTTCACACTCGCTCAACTCAGCTCACCGGAGAAAAGAGCTCTTTGTGTTATAAAGCCGTATTAATGAACAAAAATAATAACACACAGATGATTTCCTAATTACCTAACTAATATGAGTGTATCCAGCCATCCCTCCTCGATCCGCCGCCCGAATCCCGATCAGATCATTCTACAAGTTCCAACAACCGAGTTGACTACATATTTCAGCCAACCCCGAGCCGAGATTGCAGAGACTTTATTAACCGATGCCCGACCGGAACGGAGGATGACATTGTATTTATGTAAAAAGAAATATATGACTCAAACAAAATACATAAATTAATGATTGATACTAGTGCAATCTTCAAGTGAGTCAAGCGGATATTGATGATGATCGATTGAGAGAAGAACTCGCCAAACCAAACAACCTCCAACATGAACTTTTTTGTGTATGAACTGTGCTGTAGACAGGGAAGAGAGCGAAACTAGACTGGAGGACTTCCCGTCGATCTGGAAGCCCTTCCAGATCCAGATCTGAAATCCCAGATTCCAGACATTTCCAAAATTCCAGAAATTTCCAGATTCGCTTTTCCGTCGTCCTCAATTCCTAGATCTAGCGGCCCCTCTTCCTCAGCCTGTCAAAGGTGTAGCTCAACTTCGATCATCTCGATCTCAGCCGGGGTTAATCATGAACAACTCCAACGACTGGGTCATTCACCTTCACTCGCGCTCTGGACAACAGGATTGATCGATCCGCCTCGGGTACTCTGCTGGCCGGATTCGCTTGGCCTGGGGTTCTGGCTCCGAGGGCCAGCTTGGGCTTGGCTTGGATGGGGAATCGGGTTGGGCTCGCCTTGTTCAGGTTGTTCGGGTTACATAGATATGTCGGAATGGTCGAATGTCGGATGCAATTATATCGATCTGGAAAGCTGGGAGGGGATCATGGAAACCCTCCCGTAGATTTGGAAGGCGGGCCTCCCCGGGGCACACCGAAAATCTGGGAGATTCCCCCCAGATCTGGATCTGGGAGGGCCTTCCAGATTGACGGGAAGTCTTCCACTGTCAGGTCTGATATCCGAAACCCCTTAGTTCCTGTTTAACGGTGCTGAGACAGAACTTCCCTAGTTCTTGCTTAACGTGCTGAGACATATAGAAGTGGGAGTTGATCAGAGAAACTGGAAAACCATCTCTGCCAAAATATACATGTACCAAAATTGGCTCTCATGTCTTGCTTGCATCAATCAACACAAGTGAGGCTTCCTGACAGAGGTAACAAAACCTTGGGGGGGTGATATTTGTTATGTATTGATGAAAGTCAAGAATTTTAGATATTTACATATCTAAAATAACTTAGATTGCAAGTAAGTGGAGAAGAGTGAGATAGGAAACAACATGACTCATGGCCCTATGTATGTATCTTAGAAAAATTTAAACCAAAAAAGGCAAGTGGATGACTTTCCGTCAACATCTGCGGGTCTCCCAGTTTCCATTTAGAGCCGAAAAAGCTAGATTTCCCTGCGAAAATCTAGACTTTTTGGGTCCAAATTGAAAACTGCAAGGCTCCCAGATCCGACGGGAAGTCCTCCAGTGGAGGACTTTCCGTCGGTTCTGCGGACCCCACAGATATCGATTTAGACCCAAAAACAGTAAGTATCACGCCTCTTAATTGGAGGACTTCCCGTCGACCAGATGGCTTAATTTAGACGGACCGGCTAAACTTTGTTTGCTGGTGGAATCTTGAGGTCAAACGATTTTCACCAGCCAACAAGGTTTAGCCAGTCCTTGTAAATTTACAAATTTAGACAACGGGAAGTCCTCCATTTACCCAAGGGTTACCATCACTTTTCTAGATCCTCATCACCCCTCTGCTGGTTCAGAGAGGATCAGCTCATACACATAAATATGTACCTTTCATCAAACATCCAAGTCCCAACCAATCAATCATCCTATCCAACACCAACCAATGACCATCCATCACCAATTGATCAACTGTCCAACACATATCAGGATCTATCAATCATTGACTACCCAATCGACTACTCAAGCAACCCAACAAGCCACCCAGAGGAACAATGTGATGGCCCTGCTACGCAGGTCCCAACATCAAGCATGTTATACCCTTCTCTTCTCCAACTAACTTTGCTCTTGTCTTCCACCTCCGCTCACAGATAAAATCCCAAATCCTGCAAGCTGGTCTTTGTGGCCGCTGATTTTCTCTCTCAAGCCAAACATGTGATTGACTCCCAAGTCATCCCTACTTGCTATTGATCTCACAGCCCAAGCAAACTTCAAGAGATCCCAAAAATCAAATAAGTCGTCAAGCTCATTGACTCTCTAGAATTGAAATCATCCAAACAATTGGATCCCTAAGAGCTTTCATCTTTCAAGTGCCTACCCTTGATGCCGCCTTTTCAGCTCAGCAATTC